ACATTTAATCTTGACATTCGCACGCAATTGAGAAGGGGAGAGAATAAATAAAAATTCATATATATATATATATATATATATATATATGTATATATATAATATATAGGTCTTATCAATTGATAATTTTTATTTATTTAAAATAATTTTAAAAAAATTATATATATATTTTTCTTTTATATTCTCAAACTTACCATTTTGATTGAATAATAAATTATTTAGTTTTTTAAAAAAATAAAATAAAAAAAAATAAAAAAACAAGGCCCCACGGTGACGTTTTTTTTTCTTTTTAATAGAATTTCTAGTAAGTCATTTAAATTTTGATTTAGGGCCTGAAAAACAAATAATAATAATAATAATAATAATAATAATAATAATAATAATAATAATAATAATAATAATAATAATAATAATAATAATAATAATAATAATAATAATAATAATAATAATAATAATAATAATAATAATAATAATAATAATAATAATAATAATAATAATAATAATAATAATAATAATAATAATAATAATAATAATAATAATAATAATAATAATAATAATAATAATAATAATAATAATAATAATAATAAATACAATGGGGGGCGGAAGTGGAGTTAAAAGAAAAAAAAATAAATAATGGAACCTTTTTTCGTTTAATATGCGATATACAAAATATACAAAATATATTAAATATATAAAATATAAATTGAGTATATAATTGAATTAATTGTAATTAGATGCCTTTTTTTTTTTTTTTTTTTTTTTTTTTTCTTTTGGTTTAAATATCTGCCAATCATAATTTTTTTTTTTTAAAAAAAGTAAACAACCTACAAACATAAACATCATTTGAATATTTGGTGCAGTTATCGATGAAGATATATATAAATATATATATAGATGCCAAGGAAATATGATTATAATGAAGGAAATGGGAGGGGGTTTTTTTTTTTCATTTAGTGGATAGCAATATCTAAATGATTAGAAGATGATTTAAATATTTAATTAATAGAATGAAAGAGAGAAAGAGAGAAAGAGAAAGAAAAAAAAAGAGACGTCATTTGATTGTAAAATAAAAGAAAAAAAAATAGATATTAATAGTTAAAATATGCCAAAGCTTAGGTTAAATTGTATTCAATGATGTATATCGTTTCAAAGTTGGTATACATTATAATAATAAAAGACAAAAGAAACCCATTTTTAAAGAATGATAATATCAATTTTATATTTTATTTTTAAACCCAAGTTTTTTTATTTTATAACATGATTATAAAAATTATTTTTTTTAAAAAAAAAAAAAAAAGGAAAGAAAATATACCTTAATATTATATTCCTTCTTTCTTACCATTTCCCTCTCCTATTATCAATAAAAAATAAATTTCAATCAGACAATTCTTTTTATAATTGAACGCACACAATTGGGATCAGATATTTTGCAAACTCACAGAGGAAGTGAAATGAAGAGGGGAAAAATAGAGAAATGAAAGAGCACAAAAGAAAGAAAAAAAACGATAACTAGAGGGACACCAATAGATTTTTTCTTTATATATATCTTTACACTTAACGTTCAATTGTAAAAAGAAAAAAAGAAAAAAAGAAAAAAAGAAAAAAGAATTATGAAGTTTTTTTTTTTTTTAGAATGAATACATTTATATGTGTATATATACTTGGCATATCTAATACTGTAGTATGAAACAAAAAAACTATATGATGTATTAGTAACTTTGATTGCTAAGTTCGGGTTTTTTTGTTTTTTGTTTTTTGTTTTTTTTGTTTTTTTTGTAGTAATAGACATAATAGACATACTAGGGAAAAAAAAACTCTATCTTGAGTTGAGCCGGCACTCGGAGTTAAAGAATAGGTTTTTTTTTTTTTTTTTTTTTTTTTTTTTTTTTAAACTACAATCCATGGAGACAACGAGAACGAGTCACTTGATTTTATTTTTATTTTTATTTATTTTTTTTGAGTCATTGGGTTGTAAAGCACCTACAGTAACAAGAAAGAATAATAATAATGATAAAACTTTGTTTTTTTTTTTTATCTATATAGTCCTTTTTTTTTTTTCCCCCCTATAAAGCCATAAGATTATTAAGTATTTTTATTCCGAGGCAACAAAATAACATCAACATCAACAACAACAATAGCAATTGACTGTGGCACATATATATATCACTGCAATAATAGTCTTCTTCTATAAGAAAAAATGTGATATGGGAAGTTAAACTTATGGGTGAAAATACATTTCATTTCAAAAAAAAAATGCCGTCATAGAGGAAGAAATGATGTCTTAGTTAACAGGGGGGACAAAAAAAAAAAAAAAAAAAAAAAAAAAAGAAGGGAGAGGGTAAAATAATGGTGGGACATAAAGGATATAGAATTACAATTAGCAAATTGTTTTTTTTTTTAACCAATGATAAACCAAAGAATGACTTAAGAAATGGCTACAAAACTGGCAATAATTTGTTTCACTTTTGGAAATAATAAGAGAGTCTTTATTTTAATTTATTTTAATTTATTTTAATTTATTTTAATTTATTTTAATTTATTTTCTTCTTTGAGAATGGCTTGTGCTTTTGTTATTTTAAAAAAAAAAATATAGCCAGCTAAGAAGAAAGCCTAGAATGGATGTATAAATCAAGAATAGCCACTCATCAGTGGCTGCTTTTTTTTTTTTTCTTTTGAAAACGAGGTTCACCATCCACTTTACAATGTGCCGTCGGTGTATAACTTGAGTAAGTATTATTATTATAATAAATAATAAGAAAAAGACTACATTTATTATTATTATTATGGTATTAAAAATGCATATATATATATATATATATATCATGAAGAATTGCGCCATTTGATTATATCTTTAATGGGATTAAATATATATATATATATAATTTTTTTTTTCGTTTCTGCCAGTGCACAGTTATATATATATATATATATAGATAGAGACTGTGAGAGTGCAGAGTTTAAAAACGGGATATAAATGAATGTAGATGGTTAGTGATGACGATAAGTGCAGTTTTTTTTTATTTTTTTTTAAGTATTTGTTGTTGATGTTGATGATAATAATAATTGATGGTATATAATAAATGATAGATGAATATACATAGAATGGTGTGTGGATGGTGGGGGCTAGTAAGCAAAATCACCCAACATCACGTTTTTTGGCGTTATGGCTAAAAAAAAAAAAAAAAAAAAAAAAAAACTATGTACGGCTGAAGTTACTTCAGGGCGAGAGGTTTAAATTTTTTTATTTTTTTATTTTTTTTTTTAAGCTTTAATACTGATTGATCAATTATTTAGAAAAAAAAAAAAAATTGAATTGAATTCAATTAGAAATTTAAAAATTTTTAAAAATCAAATTCAATGAATATATATTTTATTATTAATTATTTAAATATTGAATAAAGAACTTTTCAAATAGATTTTGTTTATTTATTTAAATTTTTTTTTTTTTTTTTTAAAGACTTATTTAATTCCTCCATTTTTTTATGCAATCTTTGTGGGGACTTTTTGGTGGGTAAAGTAAAAATTATTTTTTTTTTTTTTTTTTAAACTTTTCTTTTTTTTTTTTTTTTAGTCTTTAAAATAAAATAAAATAAAATATATAAAATGGTGAAGAAACACTTGAAATCACATCATCGCCAACTTAAATGTTGCAAGAACGGGTGAAATTGCCCAATTTTATTGATTTTTACCACTATCACTACCACCACTCATCAACCCTTGGACAAAACTTCAATTAATTTTTTTATTTTTTTTTTTTTTTTTAACAGCAAAACTAATCACATTAAAACTATTTTTTTTTTTATCTTTATAGATTAATTATTATTATTATTATTATTATTATTATCATATATATCAAATTTTTTTTTTTTAAATAAATTCTTAATAGTACTATTAATCATTGTTTTATACATATATATCATCACATAAAAAAACAAACAAACATACCCACTTATAACTTTACTAAACAAAAGTAAAGAGAAAGAAAAAAAAAAGAAAGAGATAAATTTATCTCTTTTGATTTATTTATTTCAACAACTTTTTTTTTTAATTCTTTATTTTGAGTTTACTTTTCCATATAGTCACAATAATTATCAATTGATCTTAAATTTTGATATTAACCATTTTCATATCATTTATTTTTGATAAAAAAAAAAAATCCTTCTCCTCATAGTACCTTAAAACGACTAAAGGACTAAAAGACTCAAAGAAGAAGAAAAAGAAAAAAAAAAAAAATTCGAATGAAAAAATAACGGATTTTCAATTTTTTTTTTTTTTTTTTTATTAATTTATTAATTTATTTTATTAATAAAATAAAATAAAATCCACCTTCCCCCCCTCTCCTTCTCATCATCCATTGTTCTTTTTAAAAGGATTCTGGCGTTTTTCCATCATTCATCAACATCATTCATTAACTCATCTTTAATATTATTTATTATTTATTTATTTTATTATTATTATTATTATTATTTATTACTAGGGGGGGTTTTATTTTCTATTTTTATTATTTATTTTCTATTCATTTCTTTCTCTTCTTTTCTCTTTCTTCCACTTTTTTTTTTTTTTTTTTTTTTTTTCACAGTCTTTATTGGATCAGAATTTTCATTTATTTAAAGAAAAAAAAAAGTTTATTTATTTATTTTTCAATCTTTTTCTCTTCTCTTCTCTTCTCTTCCTATTTTTTTTTTTCTTTTTAGTTGATCTTTATAAATTCCTGTTATCTTGAAAGAATCATTCTAAATATCAAAAACCTTTTTTTTTTTTTTGTGTGTGTTATATATGTGTGCCTAATTACTAAGTGGCCTCCCATATATATATATACATACAAACATCTCTAGTCGATAATAATATTTCTCCAACAATATCTAATATATAAACACCATGAAAACTAGGCTTTAATCAAACCTTTTTAAAAAGAACTCACATCAAAAAAAAAAATAATAATAATAAACAATCTTTATATAAAGTATCATAATCTTCATAACCTTCATTCATTCTCTCCCCTAATGAATGATCTCCCGCCTGACAAGCCGGAACTCAACTATACAGATACCACAAACAATATCCAGTACCTCGATAACACTACTTCCAAAACTTCCACCGATAACACAACTTCTGATCTTCAATCTTCTTATCCCATCATTAGCTCTTCTATAAACCATTCTGATAACCTATACAACTTTCAAAACCAACATCCTAATCACATCATCCCGGAACACGGTGCAATGCTGCTCGACCTGGAATACCATGCTCACAATAACAACTCATCATCCACCACATCTTCTGCAACTTCACCTTCTTCTAGCATTTACTTTAATTCTCATCTCACTCCATTGTCCTCTTCATCATCATCATCATCTCCATCAACAACAACAACTACATCAACTACAACAACTCATTTCCCATTCCCACTCGCTGGACCTTCAACACAATCAATATCTTTCCAAAACTTATCATCAGCATCCCCTTCTGCATTTTCTCGTAACGTCTATGGTGATACCAGTTCGTTTGTCATGAATAAAAGAGGAATCGGAACAGGCATGCGTTCAAGTACTCCAAGTCGGCTTATCGGTAAGTTTTGTTTTTTTTTTTTTTTTTTTTTAAAAAAAAAAATTAAAAAATTTAATTAAAAAACCAATATCTCATCTAACTTCTTTTTCTCAATCATCATCATCATCATTGTGTAAATATACACATTTGTTGATATTTTATCTAAATTTTTTTTTCTTTTTTTTCTATTTTATTTTTTGTTTGTTAGACAAGGGCAAAAATAGAAAAAACCCATTTTCGAAACCTCCAAATAGTCCAAGTGACGATACTTTTTCAACTCCGCCGCCTTTACCACAGTCACCGCCGGCGCCACAGTCTTCATCAGTAAAAAAAATCATAACTCTCACATCTTCTAGCAATGATTCCTATCAGGGTCCTGCTTCGTCCACACCCAGCGTTGAGCCTTTATTGGATGAAAAAATTTTTGCGCATGTAGGAGTAACAAGCCACAATCTCAAAGGCTCCTCCCCTATCCCCACCACCACCACAACAACAACAACAACAACAACAACAACCAAAACCACCACCACCATAAATAACAACAATACTGCTGCTGCTGCTATTAAAACTTTTACACCCACTACCTCCAACAATCATAAAAATATTGCTAGCAGTACCTCAAATATTCGCCATGGATCATCTGCTGAGATTCTTGGGAAACCTCCGGACGGGAAAAGTATCGACTCATCTTTGCAAAATTCTACTACTGAAATTTCTACTACTGGCGTGACTTCCAATAATTTGAGTAATACCAAACATCCTTCTACTTCCTCTTCTTCATCGACATCTTCTTCCTCATCTTCATCATCATCATCATCATCATCTTCTTCTTCTTCTTCTTCTTCTTCTTCTTCTTCTTCTTCTTCTTCTTCTTCCGCATCTTCAACATCTTTAACATCTTCTTCTACCTCTTCACTTTTACAAGATTATGCTTCTTCTTCTTCCCCTCCACTTTCCAACTTGACTTTCCTTCCCTTTCCTTTAGTTCAAACAACACAACCTTCTTCTATCTCTTCTACAACCTCTTCTACTCGAACAGTCCCCAGAAATAAAGATACAAGTGACGAGAATAATCAATCACCTTCTATTGATAATAGTTCATCATCATCATCATCTTCTTCTTCTTCTACATCATCTTCTTCCTTTTTACCAAGTTTAGAAAATACTTGGGTTTTGGATACTCTCATCTCAGGCATGAATAACAACTCTACAAGTGGGGCCGATTCAGACCCAATTGCTTCCGAAAATATCCAGCAGCAAGATTCAAGCACCCCAACAATCCATCCAACAATCCCAGATCATATACCCTCTTCTTCCTCTTCTTCCTCTTCCTCTACGTCTACAACTGCTGCTCCGTCTTCTAATCCATCTCTACTTTCAATTAACCCTTTCCTTGATTTCCTTTCAACAACTACTCCTCCACCTCCTTCTTCATCTTCATCTTCATCGCTACCTCCTTCAGCTACTGCTCCAACATTTAATGTATCTTGGAAACGTTCCAGAAGCAATGCAACTCCTTCATCATCATCATCTTCTTCATCAACTTATGCTGCAAACATTCAACAATTCCTCAACCAGTTAAATGAATCCCCAGAATCATTTGAAAGCGATTTGAGTCCTGAAGACAGTACTAAAATTCAACGACATGGTACTTCATTTTCAAGTTATCATTCAGAACCTGCAACATCTCCATTTGTTGTTCCTGTAACAACATCTTCCTCTGCATCTCCTCTGGCTTCCGTCTTAACTTACCCACTCTCGGGTCCAGACGTCTCACCTCATAGAAGGTCTTCCTCAGCTTTTACAAATATGGTCCATCAATCCATCATGGGCAAAAACATTCAAGGAGCTCAAAATATTTCTCCTGCATCTACTGGTGAGCTTGTATCCCCTCCTGCTGCTCAAAATTCTCCTCTGGCATCAACTCCAAGCATTTCTCCAAACCTTACTTCTCACCAAGGATTGGTTGTTTCTGCTTCTTCTTCAACTCCATCTTCTACTGGTCCTAGTGGTGCAATTGCATCAACTCCAAGTGAAACTGGCACTCCAGAAGACTCTCGAGTGTCAATTCTACGCTCGTCTTTCCAAGTGAAAAATGAGGCTTCTATAAATTCGCCTCAATCTTCTTCTTCACCAATTACTACAGTCCCAAGTCCAACATCTTCTCTAATAACTGCAGCATCAACTTCTCCTCAAATCCGAAGCGATACCATTGTTTCAGGTACTACCGGTACCAGTGTTGCTACAACAGCTGCAGGTGTTGCGGCAAACGCACAAAAAATCTTCAAGTGCCCTCAGTGTCCGTTATCATTCCGCAGAAATCATGATCTCAAACGTCATGTCAAGATCCATTTGCCTGTGCGTCCATATACTTGCTCGCTTTGCGAAAAGGCGTTTAATCGCAAGGACGCACTGCGGAGACATCTTTTATCTAACGCGTGCAGGAAACGACCAAATAGAAGGCCTGTAACTGCAGCGGCAGCAGCAGCAGCAGTTGCGGCAGCAACAGCAGCTTCTTCTTCTTCTTTATCGATGGTGACTGGAAAGGTTGGGAATAACAGCGAGGGGTCTTCTGCCACATCAACAAGTTCAAATTCTGCAGGGCTGGGATTACAAGAAACTGTGGCGTCTGCAGCAACAGCCACAATCTCAACACCATCTGGAGCCAATGTGAATTCGTCACCGTCGCCCACCAGTGTACAAATGGCACCGAGCCCGCTGGCAACTGCACAAGGATTTCCACAGAGCATTTTGGGAACCACCGACTTTGACCTGACGCCCATTCTAACACGTACTGGTGCTGTAGCAGCTTCTAGTGGTGGTGTGCTTAAAGATGGGTACAATTTTAAAAGCAGCATTAGTAGTAGCGATAACAATAGTGACAACTTAAGTGATGGTAAAGATAAGGGCAGGAGTAGCAAGGGTGGCATTGACCAAAACTTGTGGAACTCACTTATGAACCACCTAGCAACAGGAATGCTTGAGTATCGTCAAGGTAGCAGCGGTGCACCATCGTTATCATCAACATTATCATCTACAGGTCCCAAGTTTCTTTCAAGGAAAGATTCTCCTGGGGGCCCTTCAGATGCATTTAAAAACCATCGCTCATTGTCATTGCCCATTTCAGTAGAAGCCGCTGCTGCTTCCAAACATCATTCGTTGTCTCTTCCTGAAACATTGGAGAGTGCGCAAGCTACAGCAGCAGCTGGAGCATCTGATAATAATAATAATAATAATAATAACAATAACAATAACAATAACACTCATGCGGCCGAGTTGGGCAACAATCATTTGCCAAGCCAGCTGCGCAAAACTCACACAACAACAACTAAATCATCAGTTGTTTCTGAGTACATGGATAGTCTGACGCGGGCACGAGTCACAGCTAACAATTCAAATTTAGGCTCTGGAACTCTACAATCAACAAGCCAAGGAGACAATATGCTTGGCCGTCATTCGCCTTTGGCAGGTAGTGTTAATGCCCGGTCAATCCTAGAATCGCCAGAGCAGGCAGACATTGCCGGGATCCTTGATGATTTCATTGATCCCTCATTATCGCAAATTCTTGGATTAGACTTGACTCAAAGTCAGTCTTCTTCTTCATCTTTTGCAGCAGCAGCAGCTGCTGCTGCTAGTGGGAATACTTACTTGCACAGCCAGCACCCCCTTGGACCCAGTCAGTATCATGCAAACGTTTCGTCTCAATCAAATGCAAATATAACCATGTCTGCAAACATTGATCCAGCAATCCAAAGCCTGACACAACAGATTGAGCAGCAGATGCATCAACTTGTGCGAGGTGAAGGAGGAGGAGGAGGGAGTGGTAGTAGTAATTCTGCTGCTGATACTGCTGATGATTTACAATTTGGAGAGATTGATGCTGAAATGATGCGATTATTTCAAGAATCTGCTCAAATGTATGCACCATCAGCTACTGGAACAGTTCCAGGACAATCTTCTTCTTCAGCTGTGGTTGTGGGGGTTGAGTCATTAGATAAAGATATAGAAGGCGATTTTTTCATGAAAGATGTGTGAAGACAAATACTTTTAAAAATTTAAATAGACTATAATGTGAATACTTCAAATTAATGAATGAATACAAAAAAAAAAAAGAAAAAAAAAAAAAAGAAAAAAATAATAATGATAGAAATATAAAAACGAATCAAGATTTTTGATTTTTTAGTGGTAAATTTGTATATATATATATTAAATTTCTGTTTTGGGAGAGAGCGTTGATATTAAACATTATTTTAATAAAAAAAACATATACACACACACTGAAAATGCCACAAATTCAATCAAAAATAGGGGAGGGGAGGGAAAAAAAAAAAAAAAAAAAAAAAATTGGTTGCCGTTATATGCAAGTGTCCCAAAGTGGTATTGAAATACTAAAAAAAAAAAAAAAAAAAAAAAACTATATGGGAAAACAAATTTTTTTTTTTTTTTTGGGTATATTTAATTTCAACAAATCAAAAAATAAAGATGTTTTTTAAATTAATTTTTTAATTTTTTAATTTTTTATTTTTAAAATGGTTTTAAATTTTAAACAAATTTCCCTCTTTAAAACCCACCCTCCCCCCCAAAATTAAAAAAAAAAAATATGAAATATAAAAATAAAAATAAAAATAAAAAAAAAAACTGTTCCGTTCATTGCGCCCACTTTATTCCAATTATTTCTTTCTTTTCCTTTCTTTTCTTTTCCTTTTTTTTTTTTTTGTTCTTCTCATATAAATAAAATTATTATTGTAAATTAACCTCAAAAAAAAAAAAAAAAAAATCAATTTTTAGTATTTTTACCAGTTAGGTTCATAATAAGAAGAAAAAATAAAAAACTAAAAAAATAAAAAAAATAAAAAAAATAAAATAAAGGCACCTGGGAATTTTGACAAATGAAAAAACAAGAAAAAGAAAAAAGCCATTTATTTTATTTTATTTTATTTTTTTTAATTCATAGTAAATAAAATGCTTTCTCTACACTTTTTCTTTTTTCTAAATAAATAATCTTCTTCTCTTTAAAAATTTATTTCTCCATATTCTTTCTTCTTCTTTTCTCTATATATAAAACCTTCCCATTCACTATCCTCTTCATCAAATACTAAATCCCGCAACATCTTTCCTTTCGTCTACTTCACTGCTATTGTTTCCTTGGCCAACAAAAAGCATCGGGGCAATCACCTCATACGGCCTTGTTTCCCCGCACGCCTCTGCGTAGTTCCGCTCAACATGTAACACAATCGATAGCGCCCCGGGACCATCCGGATACCGTGGCTCTCTCTCGTCGCATGCAAATGGAACCGCTCCTGCTCCGGATGAAAACGACCAGTCACCACTACCACCACCACTACCACTGATCCTCTCAGGGAACCGGGGACCGGCTGCCACGCTCGTCATGCCATCGACTCGTGCCAAAGACCCGTACACAGCCTTATATGCGCGCGGGTACCGTTGTGGTGGTTGCTGATTTGGAAGGGGTTTCCTAGTCTTGTATTCATCATCGTTACCTAAATAATCTTGGAAATAATCATCGATAGGGTCTGCAGCTTCAATTTCCACAATGCTACACCAGTTGCGACGTGCCATTAAGCTCCGGTTTTTGTGGCGCAACGTCCCGTCCACATCGTACTTAAAGATACGCGCCATGTCTTCGCAAGTATGTGCCCCTAAGTAGTGCACCTTGTTACGCGTATTAAGGAAATCCGCCAGTGCTGCAGCCGGTGGCGCATTGCTAATAGATGAGCTGACCACGTTTAGAATTAGTCGGTGGTCACGCTCCCAGTCAATTGGTGGAACATCTGCTGGAGCTGTAACGGCCGTTGTGGTAGACTCTGCTGTGGTAGTAGTGCTTGTTGACGATTCTTGGGTTCCGGATTGTGGATTACACCCATGAGTGTCCTCGCACTCTCTTTGACGCCCGTAAAACCGGCCCACAGCTGCCAGATGAACATCTCCAGCAAGAATCGTGACACGTGCGCTTGTTTTTTCTGCAAGGTCCTGAAGGTCCACCACAAACTGATTTCGTTCTTGTTTGTGCACTTTAGCACACCAGTGATCGTTCAAGTCATCCAGAATCTCGGCAGCCCCGTCAAAGTTATTTGACGTGCGAGAATTATGCGAGTAATGGTTGCGTTGATTGTATGGGACATCGATTTCTGTAGCCTTTTTTTTGTTGTTACCACTGCCAGAGCCACTTCCTCCCAAGGCGCCCCACCCACTTAAAATCCCCGACTTGGCAAGCCCCCTAATCGGACCCGCAACCATGGGACTCGCCAGCAAAGTCTCGAGCCATACCAGTCTTGGATACGCTACTGGAACACCCACAACTACTAACAGGTGCTTAATGCGCTTGTCAGCTTGCAGCTCTGCAGCAACGCGCCGGAAAATGAGCCGGTATGTGTCTGGGGAAATGATGCGGTCGAGCCGGCGTTCAGTCCTACAGTCGAGCGCAAGAACAGCCATGGATTTGCCCAAGCGCGCATAAACAGACCGTGCAGGCTCGTGGATATAAGGTCCAAGACTTGCTGGGTTGCAGATCCAAGAGGCTTCCATAGCAGGATCTTCACTGGGGTGGGTGTGGTGCTGGAACAACATGTAATACTTAAAGGCAACTTGGCCCAGCCCGCAAAAAATTGGCTGGGCCATTGTTTGATCTGCATATGATCCAAACCCGTCAACTATATCGTGATCATCAAACATATTTATTGACGGGATAGTGGCCAAAGCTTTAGGGAAATCTGGCCGTAAACACCGGTGGACTTTTTTAAACTTGCCGTTTGTAGTTGCAGTATTTTCACTCGAGTTTTCCAAAACCGTGCGGCCTTGCCACCAACCATACCCAAACCAGCCAATGTAGTAGTCGAGGTAAAATTTTTCAGTAAGCTCGCGGTCTTGGTTATCAAACGGCATGTTTTTCTTCTTGTTAGCATTTTTCTCATTGATCCAGTCGCGGATCGGCTGACATGCTTCTTTGACTCGGTCGCAATAGATTTGATCGCCACCTCCAATCATGACATGGAACCGCTGTACTTGATGGTGTCTTAAAACATCTTTCCACAAGCATCCCTTGTACATGTCTGGGTCCACTCCGAGAGAGAACCCATTGCATGTGTGGAACACAACACGCATAGACTGTTCCTGAGACGGCAAGAAAAAGTCGCCGAGCGCGGCATCGCCATTAATGGTATAAAGAACCTGTTGCTCGCGCGATGGGTGAAGAGCAAACGCTAGTCGGAACCGCCAAAAGGTTTTGCCATACTCCGAGTGCAGGCGTTCTGCGGGTATCTTTCCGCTGGCTAAAATTGGATGGTGATCTGGAGTGTAATGGATATGGCCTGTAGTATTGGTAGTATTGGGGGTAGTATTAGTAGTAGTATTAGTGTTAGTAGTATTAAATGTGGTATTTGTAGTATTGGTGGTGTTATTATCTTCATCATGGGGTGGTGACCTGGTGGCAGCAGTGGATTCCTTTTCAAAAAAGAAATTGGCTAAATCCTCATCTCCATCAAACTTATTGTATAATTCTTCATCAAAGTAGCTATTGTTGTTGCTTGCTGGAGAATCTTTTGCTCCTTCACTGTTTCTACTACTTGCATGTCTAGTTCGTTGTCCCGCATTATCTGTTTTAGGTAGCGTTATTGTATATCCAAATATGGGTGCCTGGCTAGAAGAAGAATTAGAAGAAGAATAGGAGGAATAGTTCCCCGACAGATGCGACGAGGACGAAGTTGCATGTGCACCTGCAGTCCACGTTTGGTTTGCTGATGCTGAAGCAGATGCTGACATAGTGGCAGGGGTTGCGGGATCAATGTCACTTGTCACAATGAGCGCGGTTCCGCGCCAGATAGAAATGCCTTCGGTTTGTCCCGTGTAGCGCAAAATGGGGCCTGCGCAAATGTCGATAGGAGGTGTTCCCCTAGCTTTTTTTTTAAAAAAAAAAAAAAAAAAAAAACAGAGTTAGATTTATGGAATTGATTGATGAGATCGAAAGGTTAAAACAACTTACGAATATGCTCATGACGGAAATTAGTTGGAGGAGGATCCCAGTGGTTAGAATTGCTAGAGTTTAGAGGGGTGACTATGGGTTGGTGAAAGGAAGCAAAGTCGAGAGTCTGCGTCAAGTCATTGAGATCAATGGCTTGCATAGTATTGAAAGAATTTTTTTTTTTTTTTTTTTTTTTTTTTTCAGGGAAGGGGATATATATATATAGAATAGCTAAAAGGATAGGTTTTTTGTTCAAAGTTTTTTAGTTTCAATTATAACAATGAAATTACTTTTAGGATAGAGAATATGATAAAGATTTATATATATATATATTTGAAGTAAATGGTAATTAAAAAAAAAAAAGGGGGGGAAAAGACGAAACAGAAAAATAAAAATAAAAATAAAAAAAAATAAAAAAAATAAAAATTTCTGCTGTTAAAATGGCTTTGTATTTTGTATTTTGTATCGAGATTTCCTCTTTTGGGTGTACGTAATAAAAATAAAAAAAAAAAACGATATGCTCATAAAAAAAAAAACTTTTCAGAGTAAACTTAAGCAGCAAAGATTTTTATTTATTTTTTTTTATTAAATATACAATATAATATATATATATATAAAAGAAATCTCCTTATTATAAACTTCTAATCAGACTTTCAACTTTTATTCCTTCCCTCCCCCCCTGAAAAACGTCAATAAATACCATTCATTATGATGATGTCCCACAGTACAAAACACAAATCACAGTAAGCAACAGATGCATCCAGTGCAGATCGTATGCCAACTTAAACATACAGATTAAATGAATTCGATTCTTATTTGTTTTTTTTTTTATTTATTTTTTTAAACAACAAAACCTTTAAACATTTTTACAAATTTTTTTTATATTTTTTTTATATTTTTAAAAAAAATTAATTATATATATATATATATATATATATATTCATTATCATGATTATCATCATATTCAGACATTTCTTTTGGCTCCTCTCCCGCTTCCCCATGTGAACAGCGGGATCCAGCCGTACTAGCGCTATTGTTTATGTGTAAAATATTTTATGCTACGGACCGAATTGGAGCAACTCCGCTCAAAAGAGACCCGCCCAAACGGCCATAGTCGACTATTTAGATATGCTAACTCTTTATATATATAAAGTACTACTTTAATACTTGAAATAATGGGCCATTATTTATAAATAAATAAATAAATACCAGACAAAAACTTCCTTTAATTCATCGTAACCACCCATCAAAATCAGGGGCAAACAAATCGTGGTCTGGCAACTGCCAATCGACATAAATCACTTTGGGCAACGGCGTCTTTACCTTGTGAACCCATTTACTATTTTTATGGTTCAATTGACTTTCATTATCATTCTCATAAATTCCATCCACTTCCCCAATATAAACCTCCTGTTTAAACCGCTCAAACTGTCGGTCAAGCCTACGCTGCTGCTTCACATCATATAATACACTCGCTCGCTCGCGCCCCTGAGTACCTTCAAAATATAACGAGTATGGGAACCGTGGAGCCCACTCAAAACGCGGGTCTGTTGCGATAGGACCCACAAACCCATAAAGCTTAAGTTTCACTTGCTGTAATGGCAATCGAGGTAGCTGCTTCTTCTGTAGCTGCTGCTCTGATGCAGGCGTTTCGCAATGCGCTTGTACCCTGAAGTTTGAGCAATCAGAGAAGCAACTTGGGTTTGCCTCCTCCCTTAAATTATTCTTCCCAAAATCATCACAACCGTCACCACCATCAACAAACATGTCCAGCAGTTGTTGAAGGTTAGGTGACACTTCAAATGCGTTTATCGTACATACAGAAAGATACTTAAGTTTTCCCAATTTCCCCAGTCGAATCTGCTCATAAATGGCCTCTATCGAGCACAGCTCAGAATATATCTCCCGCTGGTTCCTGGTAAAGTATTGTAAAGGTGACTCATGAATAAGTTCCAACGTCTCAAGAGGCCTCCATACTATCCCAAGCAAAATATTGGCTATAGTTCTTCGTCTTTTGCAAAACTTACCCCGATCCCCTAATGGTCCTATACACTCATCGCACCGACAAACTTTATTATACCAGCTCGTGTAAACCCAATCTGAAAGATCCGGTTCTCCATCACTAATAATCAAATCGTCAGCTGTTTGTAAAGTCCTACCAGTGTCATGATACAAATCCAGTAGCTGCGTTTGAAACTCCGAACCATATGTATACCCCAACGTGTAAAATGTCTCCTTGCACACTCGAAGATATTCCAAATTAGGCAGCTTAGCAAGTGACTTGATGGCAATAAAGTACGGCACATCCAGGCATAATGATAAAGATAATTTATTTAATGCTTGAGTGTTTAAGTCTTCAAAATTCAAGCTTGAACCGTGGTATTTTTGACTCCCGCGAAACTCCAAAAATTCAAGGTTGGGCAAATGCAAAAACCCAAGAAGATCTCGCATCCCAAGAGACCCTTGTACCTTAATTTCTGTTACAGCCGGTAAATCCAATCGATGTGGGACTTCTCCAAAGCGCTGGTCTAGTCTAGATGCAACTATTGCCATATCAACACTAAACCCAATCTCTAAATTGCCCATAAATGCAAGTGTAATCCGACACTTTTTTAAACGTGGCAAATTCTGCAATGCCAAAATGTATCTTTTCGATATAACCATTTGGCCTTGCTCCTTTAATGCCATGGCCATAGTGGGTTCCAAAATCAATATTTCAAGACATGGCCACTCTCGTACACTTTTTAAAAAATACTCAAGCCAATGCGCCGGCGCACTAGCTATACTGATCATCTTAATATAAGGCAGAGAAAAAAGTCGGGGTGGAGGCCTAATTGGTGCCGCAAGCAATGAAATCCGAATGTCTCTGATCTCACTGACATGAAGCTGCTCTAAGTCTTCTATAGCCTGCAGCACTGTTTCATCTGTTCCGTGAAACGAAGATACATCCATCCAAAGCAAATCCCCCCTATTGATTCGCTTGAGCTCTTGAATGAAGTTGGAATTCATAATCGACGTATATTTTCCAACAGACAATTGAAGTCCCTTAATCACATTTACTTTTTGCAACTGCGGGAACTTGGTCACGTCCAAACAATTGAGCACCTCAGCCGTAGTCGACATGGCACCTGCTGTTACCCCAGCTTCTGCAACATTGATTCTGTTCATGGTCCATTCGTCCGCGCGGCCCTCTTCTTGTCCAAAGAAATACGAATTGGAACTAATCTGGTGCACACTTGCCTTATCAAACCAGCTGAAACGCTCCGGCCTACTCACAGCTTCTAAAGACACCCGCCGGTACCGGCAAAACGGATCAAAACACGTCGAGTATATCTCATGGTAAAGCTGTGCCCGTACCTTGAAAACTATGCAGTTTCGCCAGGATTCCGGGCGATATATCCTTTGCAAAGCCACGCATGTTTGGCTCATATACTTGAGCTCTAATGACGTAAGAAACTCACATAGTTGCAGATGCACCTCCATTGGAAGACTCAATAAGGTCGGAGGGTCCATTGTGAGAAAAGTCAAGAAGAGTCTGTTTAAAGATGGAGATAGAAAATAAGGGAAGAATGGAAAGAATGAGAGGAAAAATGGTGAATGAAGATGACAAAAATGGTTCGACTATACACCGGTCCGAAAAATGGCTTTAATGGATTAATGGAGGTTACCCTCCTTATCATATATGAAAAGAGGCTTTTGGGATATTTTAATTTAAATTCTCAGCCGTCAATTAAGCTTAAACTATTTAAAAAAATAAAAAGAAATAAAAAGAAACAAAAAATACAAAAAAAACAAAAAAGAAGCTATTTCTCACTAGAAATATATATATATATATATATATATCAAGCTACAACGTAAAGTAATCGTCATTATTTATTGTTGCTGGGGTCTACTTTGCAAGCCAGTTTCAGAGAAAATTCCCTCTTCCTGTGGTCGTGGCGGGTAAGCAGGTGCATTGGCCGAGTTCATTTCAAGTTGCTGCTGATACTCGCGATCATATGCAGAAGCCCCCTCCTGCGACTGCTGCTGAAGAGGCTGCTGCTGAAGTGGCTGCTGCTGAAATGGTTGCTGCTGTTCTTGGTATGGCAGAGTACCCTGCTGTTCCAAAGGTCTGGGTGGGAAAGCAGGTGCTTGACCCGAATAAGGCTGCTCCTGATACCGGTATGTGCCATTTTTCTTTAAAATCAAAACAGGCGCAATCACTTCATACGGTCTTGTTTCACTCGACGTCCGGTGCTGATCCTTCTCAAAATGCAGCACAATTGATAAGGCGCCCTTTTTGTCAGGGTATCGTGGATAGTCTGTCTCTGAGTTAAAACGAGCAGTGTCAATGGGGCCTTCAGGCTGAGTTGCTGCCACGTTGACGTTATTGGGCTTGCCGTGGTTGTTGAGATAATGGGTTGAGCGTTGCTGGATCTGCACAATACTGCACCAATTGCGTCGTGGAAGCAGCGTTTGGTTGTTGCGAGGAGTACCATCAACATCAACCTTGAACAGCTTGACCATGTCCTCGTCGGTGTCACCGTGGAGATGATGCGTTTTGTTACGCGTGTTCAAAAAGTCGGCAAGGTTGCTTGAAGGTGGGGTATTAGTAATGGCCGAACAAACAACATTAAGCATTAACCGGTGGTCTGTCTCGGGATACAATCCAGGCTCACCACTGGAATAAAACCGTCCCATAGCACCCAAGTGTACATCGCCACCTAAAAGCGTAATACGGACACTTGTTTCCTGGGCCAGTTGTTGAAGCTGCAAAACAAACTGGTTACGTTCCTGTTTATGTGTTTTTGCGCACCAATGGTCATTCAAATCGTCGAGAATCTCAATTGCACCATCAAAGTCATTGACCAGGCCTCCCAATACAATATTCTTTTTGGATAAAAACTTGAGAGGACTCATTAAATTGCTCTGCAAAATACTTTCAAGCCAAACAAGACGTGGGTATGCAATAGGAACACCCAACATTACAACCAAGTGTCGAATATTAGGGTCTTTTCCCAGCTCAGCTCGCAAGCGTTCAAACACAATTTTATAAGAGTCTGGATAAACAATTTGTTCCAGCGTACGCTCAGTGCGACAGTCAAGACCTAAAAATGCAGCCTCTTTACCCAAGCGCGCATAAATTGTGCGAGCCTGTTGTTTCATATAAGGACCTGGCCTGGGGTTAAGGATCCATGAAGGTTCAAGCTTAGGGTCTTCGGCTGGGTTAGTTTGATGCTGAAACAGCATGTAGTACTTAAAAGCGATCTGACCAATACCACTGAAAATGGGGCTGCTCATAGTTTCTTCCGCATACGAACCAAACCCGTCAATGATATCGTGGTCATCAAAAATGTTGACTGAGGGGATGTGTGCCAGGGCTTTTGGGAAATCGGGACGCAAGCACTTACCATGGGGACCGTCCCACCAGCCCTGACCAAACCAGGCAATATAGTGGTTCAAGATATATTCTTCAGTGATTTGCTTATCTTTTGGGGTAAATTGCATTGTTCGCTTCTTTTTGCTACTTTTTTCATTGGCCCACACAGCAATGGGCGGACAGTTGAGCTTGACAGTGTCGCAGTAAATCTGGTCGCCGCCTCCAAGCATAACGTGGTAGTGCTGGGCCTCATGGTGACGCAAAACATCTCTCCACAAATCGCCTTTAAAGTCTTCAGGGGTGACTGATAAAGAAAAGCCGTTACAAGAGTGAAACACCATATTCATAGTTTGAGACTGTGCTGGTAGATAAAAGTTTCCTTGAAGAGCAAAGTTATTGATGTTATATTCAACGTAAACCTCAGAGCTTTCATGAAGATATAAGTTAAGAGGAAATCTCCAAAAGGTTTTGCCATACTCCTGGATGATTTTTTCAGCCTCAATGCTACCTGTGGTCAATTCAGAGTTGGAGCCTGGAATGGAAATACGGAAGAAAAACATGGGGGAGCGTTGGTTTGCAGGTGTGCCGATATCATTGGTAACAATCAATACAGACCCGCGCCAAATGAGCAGGTCATCAGTAAGACCAATATATCTGAGAATAGGACCGGCACATATTTGTAGAGGAGGTTCACCACGAACTTAAAAGAAAATGATAAAAAAAAGGAACACGTTTAGTTAGAATGGAAAGCAAGCAGCTAAGCTTATGCTGCCATTTTGATAATATCAAAAACATACTAGGAAACTGGGGCATCTGAGAAGGAGGAGCCTGCCATGGTTCCTCTTGCTGAGGAGAAGGAACCCATGGTTGATAAACGGGTAAAGCAATATTAGCAGACATTAAATTGTTTTAAAAACAAGAAATAAAAGAATAGATTTTAAAGATTTGGCAAAAATATAAAAAAAAAATTGTGAAGGAAAAATTAAAAGGTGGGATTTTTTAGTTTATAAAAAAAAAAAAATATGATGGAGTGGCTAAAAAAATAGTTACACAGTAACCAATGTTTGTTGGTCTAAAAACAATCAATGACCGGCTTTAACTAACAAGCCAACTTCAAAATAAAAGTCAAAATAAAAGTCAAAATAAGACAATGATGTTTATTTATCTCTTTTTAAAAAGAATTTGAAAGAAGTTAAAAATTTTGGAAAAAGTTTTTTCTTTTTTTTTTTTTTAAAAAAAAATAAATCCGTGTTACTGGTCCTCCGGTATGCTTTTATCAGGCAAACAGCCATAAATGAGCAAAAAAAAAAAAAAAAAAAAAGAAAGAGGCTCGGTTCTTCACAGTTATTTGGCAGTGCAGTAGGTTTTGGAAATAGTTAATACCCAAAATATTGGACAAAAATATTATTATTATGATATAATTATTATATTATGATGATTATTATTATTATTATATTATGATTATTATTATTATTATTAATCTTTTATTAAAATATTAAAATATTAAAATATTAATGTTGAAGTGAAGGGATCAGGAATGAAGTTTGTTAAAATATCATACACGCCTGCCGGACCGTAATATACGACAATCGAGAGAGGTTTCGGACCGTGCCAGAGTTGGAAATCCACAAAACAGGCATGTGTATGTGATTTTTTTTTATCATTGAACGTATATACCGAAGGAACCGAAAAAATAAAAGAAACAGAGAAAATCTCGTTTTTTCTTTTTTTTTTCTTTAAAAGATCGTTCGTGTAGAAAGTTCCGGGCTGTATTGATCAAATATCTTAGGCGCAAATCAAGTCTGGAGCAGAGGAAAAGCCGTCTGCTTCTTCGGCGTCGCTATCATCTTTCTTGATATACTTTTCCAGGTCGGATGCTTCAAAGATGACCTGAATTTGAAGAGAACAACTAGGACATACTGCAATGTCGTTAGACCCGTCAACTAAGTCGTCAATAAAGATTTGGAATCTGTCGCCACAAGGACAAGGGTAAGTGAAGAGTTGAGTGTCTTCATCAAAGGTCATATCCTCGATTTCAATCTCGTCGTAAATAGACATGGTGGATGGAACTAATTTATATTCTTCTTGAGTATATGGAGTTTATTCAAAATGAAAAAAAAAAAAAAAAAAAAAAAGAGAAGAAACTTTTTTGAAGAAAAAAAAGAGATCTTTTCAAAGATTTTATATCCCAAGAGATTTTTGTAGTTGAAAAATGAAAAGATTTCTTCAGAACAAAAAAAAAAATTTTTTTAGTAAGCTTTAAATATATATATATATATATATATAATACATATATAAGAAGCACGTGACTAATCTCGGACGACTCACCCGGTCGAGTTAGTTCAGCCCTGTGGAGTTTCCAGCATAAACTCGGCCTTTGCTACCGTTTTCTTTTACCATTTTGGACGGGAAATTGCACTTTTTTTTTTTTTCTTCTTCTTCTGAAAACAATAAAATCTTGGTTTAGACCATGACTAGACTTTGTTGCCTGGGAGGGTTTGAATAAGAAAGATTTAATGAAAACTAGGCCGAGGTGGTGTCTAATTCAGGTCTATGATGTAACGCGTCTGTTTAGCTAAAAAATTAAGGGGGGAGTGGTTGCATTAAAAGATTTTAGATCTACAAATAATCACGATTAGAACTCTACATAAGATCATGACGATAATATTTTGGCATTTGATTTAAGATTTTCATATGGGGTGGTGAAAAGATTTCAATAGTTAAAGACGGGACCAAAAGAGGATAACTAATTTAATAATTAAGTTATAATAACCATTTTAAAATGTAATTTGATTTTTTTTGTTTATTATGTTATAAAACGTAATTACGATAACATTTTAAGTATATTAGGGTAAGGGGTTTGTATTACATTTATTTGTTACCACTTTATTACATATTTAATATGACATTACCACCGTCCTCACTACCACCAAAAATCAACACACCTAGGAAAAAAACAAACAATCCAGTCATTAAAAAAAAAAGAAAAAAACTTCACCTTTTGATTATTTCGCGTTTTTTGTTTGTTTGTTTGTTTGTTCTCAATACTCTTGTTTTTGAAATATATACCGTTTAAATGGATGTTTAATAACTCTTTTGACTGACGTGTTTAAAATAATAAAAAATCCCTCTTCTTAATACAACAAGTCCAATCTCAACGTTCTCTCAAACTATATATATATACTACCAATAATTTCATCTGGGTTCTCACAAAAGACTCCTTTTTTTTCTCACCTAGTGCTGACCAGTTATGCCCTGTAAAAATACAATACCCAAAGCTTCGCTATTATTATGACTCAGTTCCAGCAGTTACCATCATTGTATCTCTTTTTTCATCATCTTTACCTTGTTCAATTAATATCCTACAGTCGTAACAGTCTATCATTTCCTTTCAGCTTTGCCAGTCAACCATTTCTTTTCACGACATAGTCAATCTGTGACCAACTTTTTTGTATATATTAACAACAACAACAACAACAACAACAACTACAACAATATCGCCCCCTTGACTTATTAATCTACAGAGAATTTTTTTTTTCTATAAATTTTTTAACCACCACTTTTATCATGCCCATTCCACCAAACTCTGCTTCAAATTCAAACAGCAGTAGTAGCAGTGGTGGTGGTAACAACAGCAATGGTGGCAAACACTCAGACGTCAGATCCTCCAAACATCATGGATCTTCTTCTTCTTCCTCTTCCTCTTCTCATTCAAGGTTTTCTTCAAGGCCTTCATCGATTCCCCCTAAACCTCCTAGCAAGTTCTTTGCTGCCACGCTGTCTTCTGCTGCCAAACAATCTTACATGAATGGCCATAATAATACCAATCACCATAATCATCATCATTCTTCTTCTTCTTCTTCTTCTTCTTCTTCAACAGCTTCTTCCTTTTTTGCACGGGCTGTTCCAGCAAATAGTAGTAATAATGGTAGCAGCAATAGTAATAGTGCTAACAACAGCACTTTTCAATCAAGTGCCACTTCAAAACCTACAGCGGCTCCTTCACAATCTGACATTCAATCAGAAGACCTTTCAGAAGCTGAAACAGTCATTGCAGAAGACTCAATTCCTCACAAAAAACTCAAACGGTTAAAACGACGACGTAGCAGTTTATCAGAAGACACTGAATCTTGGGGTATCTCAAAAGAATCTAAAAAAAGACTAGAATCTACAAAGCCATCGCCACCGCCACTTCAACCTCAACCTCAACCTCAACAGCAGCATCCTCAACCTCCTCAGAAACCCCCTCCTGTTCAGCCTCCTCCACCAACTTCAAAACGAAAATCACCACCACCATCATCTTCTACTAAACATCGTTCTACCAGCCCACGTCCTTCAGGTTCTAGCCGAGAAGCTCTTTTACGGAAACATGCAAAAACTGGCCGTGATGCAAATGGCCGCTTGAGACTACAGCGCATGTGCGATAAGGGCAAGTACGACGAAGCCAAAGAGTTAATTTTAATGGGTGCCGACGTTAATGATAGAGATTATGCCGGGAATACAGCTATCCATGAAGCCGCGCTCAAGGGTCATCGAAAAATTGTAGAGCTTTTGTTGGACCATGGCGCCATTATCGACGTGCGCTCTGGCCCAGGTGATTTAGACACCCCTCTTATTGATGCCGCTTCAAATGACCACTTGGAAGTCGTCAAGTTTCTTCTTGAGCGTGGTGCAGACCCCAGAATATACAATGCTCAAGGCAAAACCTCAATGGATTTAGTTCAGGAAGATAAACCAAACCATAAAGAAATTGAGAAGCTTTTACGTGAAGCCACTCTTAAATTAAAGAAGCGCAAACATAATGATAGCAGCAAAACACCCGAGGTTGACGACTTGGATACCCCTGATTTCATGGATCCTGCAAATGCAGTTCCTGGTACTTTTCCCTCGCCCGACTTTTATTCCAATCATCACAGCTTGCAAAGTAACAACAGCAATTCAGGACTTTCTGACCCAGGTGGTCCCCGTCGACGTGGCGCCCGAGCACAGTCTATTCGAAATGACTTGCTTTGGATGGATTTGACGACAAGAACTGGTAGAGACCAGGTTTATAAACGTGCAGCCGATGGAGATTATGAGTTTGTCGGAAACTTTTTGGGTAATGGATACAAACCTGATGCTGATTGCTTGGCTCTTGCGGCGCGTCATGGTCACCGTGATGTTGTCAATTTGCTTTTGGCATTTGGTGCTGATAGCAATGGCATTACCGAAGAAGGCGACACACCATTGCAGCAGACTGTTGGACGCGGACACTATGGTACAGTAAAGCTTCTTTTGGACTCTGGTGCTGATCCCACGGTTGTTAATAAACGAGGCAAGACACTAATTGATATCGCTAAGGAATCCCTTTCGACGGACGACAAGGAGCTTGCATTAATTGCCCAGTCTATTCAATCCTGGAAGCAAACAAAGAAAAACAATACAAACACTCCTGCGTCATCTGCATCACCGCCACCGGTCGATGTTAAGCCCGATATTAAACCGCCTGTCAAGTCTGAGGGTAAGAGTCGAGCCCCAAGTGAATCGGAACCTTCTCGCAAAATCAAGAAGCGTAAGGTTTCTGAGCCTTCAAGCAATGGTGTTTCACCATCATCCTCATCCTCAGACTTGAAATCTAAGGTTAAGGAGGTTGAAAGGAAGAACCCTCCGCCGCCCTCTGGGACCAAGCTTTTATTGTTTGGAAATAAATCATTAGATACAAAGCCAGCAGTCAGTCGAGTAGTAGGAGGGACTCATGGCGATAAATTGCGATCTGGTTCGATTACAGGTGACGATAAAAGAAAGTCTGAAGTGAAGAAGGAAGGCCTTTCTGAAAAATTCAATAACTCATCTGACATCAAAAAAACAGAACTCAAGCGCAAGGACTCGAATGTTAAGCTTCAAGTTGAGGAAAAGGAAACTAGTAAAGTGGGTTCAGTCAAAGAGATGACTGCTGCCACGCTTGCTTCAGTGACTAAGAAGCTGGACAGACGAACTGATAAAGTAGCTGAAAAACAAGCAAAGAATGAGAAACAGCAGCAGCAACAACAACAACAATCGTCCACAAAATCTGTCAAACAAGAAAAGTCTCTCATCAAGGGCGAGAAGAGTGCATCCAAGACTGAAAGGACCAAGTCTGTTGAGAAGCCATCTACTGAGAAGCGTTCTGAAAAATCACTTGAAAAGGCTTCTACTGAAAAGCGACCTGAAAAATCACTTGAAAAGGTTTCTATTGAAAAGCGTTCTGAAAAATCACTTGAAAAGGCTTCTACTGAAAAGCGACCTGAAAAATCACTTGAAAAGGTTTCTATTGAAAAGCGTTCTGAAAAATCACTTGAAAAGGCTTCGATTGAAAAGCGACCTGAAAAATCACTTGAAAAGGCTTCGATTGAAAAGCGACCTGAAAAATCACTTGAAAAGGTTTCTACTGAAAAGCGACCTGAGAAATCACTTGAAAAGGTTTCTACTGAAAAGCGACCTGAGAAATCACTTGAAAAGGCTTTAACCGAAAAGCGTTCTGAGAAATCTTTGGCTAAACCATCGATTGAGAAGCGTTTTGAAAAGTTTGAGAAAATCCACAAGGTTGAAAAGATTAAACAAGAAATTTCAGAGAAGAAGTCGCCGTCGCCTCAAAGTTCAACCAATTCTACAGATAAGCCTACAGCTAAGCCCATTGAAAAGCCAACCGAAAAGTCAGGTCGTGTTTCCAAAACACCCACTCCTTCTTCAACCCCAGCGCCTGTGTCCCCATCCAAGGAGATTTCCAGCAAGCAGAAAGAGCAACTTTTACAAGAACAACGGGAACGGTCTCGACGTGAACGTGAAAAGAAGATGCTTATTCTGATTGAGGAAGAAGAAAAGCGGATACAGGAGAAGAAGCGTCGCGACGAAGAATTCACACGACAAGAACGTCTTCGTCAAGAGCAACGTGAGGCAAGACGCCGGGCAGAGTACATTGAGCGTGAGCAAGAGCGGATAAGGCGAAAGCAGCAACAAGCGGATGCCGAAATGAGGCGACACTTGCCTTATGGCTTACGGGTGGCAGTTTATGGTCCTCGGTCTATGGATGAGGTTTGCAAGTTTTTGCCGATACAATTGCGTGTTGGAAGGCCTGGAGTTGATAATGCGGAATATGTTGTTGATGTTCAGGTGTCGCTTTTGCTTGGAATTCAGAACCTGTATCATGTATACCCGGAGCTTTCGAAGAAGATTGTGACAGACCATGAGAAGACGCGGTTGTGGACAGTAATGTCAACATATCTTTGCAAGCCCATTCCTGAGTTTGGGGCTGGTAAGGATGGGAAGCCACCTGGTAGTGAAGACATTTTACGAAGTTTTAGTGAAGATCGGAAGCGGTTTATGGGGATGAATTTGTTTTGGTTACGGTGGGAACAAGTTGAGGAGATGATGAGACGAGACCATGGACTGATTTACGAACTTTATAAGCAAGTGGGGAGTGTATCAGTGGATCTTGATTATGATGATGTGAAGGAGCAGCAGGAAAACATGGAGGCAGTTCGTCAGCGGCGAGAAGCGAGTGAAAGGCAGTTTGTGAAACAACTTCCAATGCGGTTACGGGTTAAGATTCAATCGCAGGAGAATGCCAACGCATGGGCAATGTTGAAGTAACAAAATTTGGGAATTGGTTTTTATGTAATTTTATTTGGGGGAAAAAAAAAATTAATAATAATAATATTAATATTAATGATAATGTATAAAGTATAAAGTATAAAGTATGTATATCTCGGGAGTTTTTTTTTTTATTTATTTTTATTTATTTTTATTTATTTTTATTTATTTATTTATTTATTTTTTTATTTTATTATTTAATGGAATTTTTTTTTATAGAAGAGTCTTTAAACGCAATTTAATTGCAAATAAAAATATGCATGCAGTACAAAGTGCGCCTCATTTTGAATTATCATGCGGAACAGTTGAGTATATGTGGGGAGATTTTTCATCCGATTATGTTAAAAGAGAATGTAGATTTGAAGCAGCAATGGTGAAGATAATAAATATTAGAGATATCAGAGCAATTGGTATTACGCCATTGAGAATGAATTAAGGAATTAATGAATTAATGAATTAATGAATTAATGAATTCTATATATATATACCTTAGATTGGTATATCTCTTATCGAATACTGTTTAGATACACGAATCTGAGTACATGTTTATGTCTTAAACATGTATATATATATATATATATATATATAAATAAGAAAAGGGATTTTACGAGGCAAAAAGGCCACAGAATGCCAATGTTTATTTTATTTTTGTTTATTATTTGCTCTAACTTTTTTTTTCTATCTCAATAAGAAGAAGCTTTGCATGATGTATAAAATAATAAAAAAAAAATAAAAAAATAAAAAAATAAAAGTAAGCTTATGTGCATGTATATAAGTACTATGTATACTAGCTAGTGTTGTGAAAGTTCTTTTTAAGTCCAGTGTTTATATTCCTAGCGAGATAGAGAAAATGAGAAATAAGGGGGGGGAGAAGAATATTTGAAGAGAGTGAGAGAGTGAGAATGTGAAAGTGAATGTAAAAAAAAAAAAAAAAAAGATGGATGATACGTATCTGTTGTTTTTGCAATTGAGTTACGAGTATGTGAAGAAAGAAAGGATATGTGTCAGGTACTAAGAAGTTGTACAGCAATTGAGATGAAAAAAGGGGGGAGGGAGGGAGAAGGAAATGTACGATAGATGGATGGGTGGATGGATGGATGGAAGTTTAGTAGTATATACAAGATATAATATTTTTACAATAGTTGCAAAAAGATGAGACCCAAAGATGAAAACTAAAAAAAACAAAAAATTAAAAAAGTATTCTTAATGTGGAGAATTGAAGTTGTGAATCTGTGTTGTTGTTGTTATTTTTAATTTATCAGGTATATAGTCTTAAAAAATGGTATGGACATATATAAAAGAAGAAGAGGGGGGAAAGGTGAGAGAGAGAGAGACTTATGTAAGAAATGGGAGGTACCGAGTAATAAATATATATAATTATATAGATATATAATAAGCTTATAAGCTTATAAGATGATTTTGCTTTTTTGGGGTTCTTCTTCTCTTTCCGGGGGATTCATATTTTTGTAAAATTGATAGATATTCAGTTTTATCTAAATTTATTTAACTACCTTTAATGGTAGTAGAATGTTTGTTGTGGGATATAAATATATATAAATATGGTAGTTACTACTACTAAGTAGTTTGTTTGTAATTGATATACGTTAAAGCAGGTATATTAAGAATGGAGGAGTATGGAAGGGCGGGGGGGGGGGAGGGGGGGTGAGAAGGGAGGTAAAGGAAGAATTGGTAGGTTTTAAGATTTCAAATTGATCATTATGGATATATATTTCAAAACAAAAAAAAAATTAATATTAATATTAAAATAAATTAAAAAAAAAAGAAGAGGGGTAGAAAAAAAAAAGGGTATCTATCTAATTATAAGGAATTGACAAAGAATTGAAAAAAAAAAAATAAAATAAAGAAATAAAAAAATAAAAAAGGGAAGTTTATATACTTTCAAGTTATCAAGAAAATTAGTTAAATTTAAATTTAATTTTAATTTTAATTTAATTTTGTTAAAAGAAAATTAACTTTTCTTTTTTATAAAGTGCAAATTCCGTGTGATAGTTTTTTTTTTTTTTTTTTAACAACAACAAAACAACAATGACTAGTAAGCCTCATCATGACTCGAGGAAAACTTGTAATGGCCAGCGACGACATAAAAAATTTTAAAAAAATAATCAAAAAAAAAACATAATTACATGATCTGAAATATTGAAGAAGCAAAAAAAAAAAAGTAGATATAGAAAAGGGGAAGATTATTATTATTAGAAATATACCAGGCAAAGGTATATATCTATATATATATATATATTTGTTTCTACTATGTAAGCAAACCATTTTGATGATATCCTAGATTTAATACAAAAAATAGGTGAAAGGAATCTACTGGATCATTTATATTTATATTTATATATATCTTTTATTTTAACTTTTTTTTATTTGCAATATGAATTAGTATACCTTAATAACAATAAATAGTAAAACAGAATTGAGGTCGGTATCTATTTAAAACTCATCCCTTAAAAAAAAAACCAGCTCTATGATTTATATTAAAGGCATCATCAATATATATTGTATATACAAGGTTTCTTGTTTTTTTTTTAATCTCAATCAAGTCTTACGTCTATATTTACATTAATTAATATAGTTTCTCTCTTAGGATACTTTTAGACTTGTTTTCTCTTTCCTTGTTAAGTGGTTTGTTTGTTTGTATTTTTTTTTATTTTTTTTTTGTTAAAGGTTAGTTTATAGATACAAAAAAATTCAAGTTGAACAAGAAAGGTTACTAGGTACTCACCATTAGTTGTTCTCACCCGAAAAGCCAATATAGGTTTTATTGGTTTATCAAATAGATTGGGAGTATTTATTATATCTAACTTAAAACAAAGCTATCCAAGAATAAAAAAAAAAAAGGGAATTTGAAGTGAAAAAAAAAAAAAACAAAAAAAATTATAAAAATAACTAAACAAATCCTAATCAGGGTAGAGTGGATAGAGAAAGAAATTGGTGGTTTTTTTTTTTTTATGAACGTGGCTTAAAAGATATGATGATGATGAAGATGATGATGACGACGATAAGTGATTAAGTTATATAGATATATTTTTTTCCTAAATAGGGAAAAGAATAAAGAATTGGTACGATTATTCATATTATTCATATATATATATATATATATATACAAAGCCAATTAAGGTTGATTTTTCATCTATTCAACTTGCTTTTTATTTCAAAAAAATAAAAAAAATAAAAAAATTGTTTTGATATATTAGTTATACTAATCAAATGAAAAAAAATAAAATAAAATAAAATAAAATAAAATAAAAGGATAATGGTTTGCTTTTGCAATTGGGAGGGTGGGTTCCCAAGCCTTTTAGTGGCTTGTTAGTAAAGTTTTTATAAAAATTTATATAAATAAAAAATAAAAAATATAAAATAAAAAATATAAAATAAAAAATAAAAAATAAATAATTATTTAAACTTTTGAATAGATTAAATAATTATATAGAGATTGAATTGTGTATGTGTTATGGGTTTCAACAATTCGATAGTTTCAACAACAAAAATGCCCTTAACAGTTACTGTAGGATTTGCCGTTTCTCTCTCCAAAACTTTAAAAAAAAAATAAAAAAATAAAAAAAAAACACCCACCACCATTTATTGTCCAAAGGAAAACGTACTCCGTGATGAACTCACATGCACTGCCAACACCAACACTAACTTACTAATTAGTTATATTAACACAAACAAATTTTCCAATGGAGGCCTCTTTTTTTTTCTTATATTTTTCTTGTCTTGCTACTATACTAAATTTTGTATTTTTATATATTTTTATATTTATATATATTTATATAAATATATATATATATATATATATATATATATCTAATGGCGTTTAAAAATAGGCGCGCATGTACGGGTCCTTCTATTAGAAAGAATAAAAAAAAAAAAAAAATCAGGCCAATTTAAGAAATAAAAAAATGACATTTTTTATTTTTTTTTTTATATTGGCATTAACAAAACAACAAAAAAAAAGAAAGATTTTCAAAGTTTGCTCAATCGCTAAATTGATTTCAATGCATATATATATATATATATATAATCGTAATGCCTGACTTGCACGTTTTTTTTTGTCTGTTTGTTATTATAAAAGGTTTTTTTAAAAAGACCGAAGACCGGCCGGACTTTTATTTTATTTTATTATATATATATATATATATATATAAAGACGAAAAAATAAAAACTTGAACCCGGGAAAAAAAAAAAAAAAACTAGATGGGACTTATATAATGTTTTCAATGCTTAGATATCTTTACTATGATTATTAATTACTTCTGTTTCGTTTAATTAATTTATTTCGAACCAAGTTAATCCTTTTTCTTCATCCTTTTATTTTTATTTTTTATTTTCTTTCAAAAATCTTTTATTTTTTATTTTCTTTCTTTCTTTCTCTCTCTCTCTATTTCTTGTCACTACAACTGGAATTTACCCCTCTTAGGTACAAGCTTCTTTGTACTAAATTTTTACGATACGATGCGCGTGCAATGTCATTGTCGTCAGTCGGCCCGTCATGTCATTTTTTCTTTCTCTTAGAAAAAAAAAAGAAGATAATGTTTATGGAATAGCCGTATAGTCAAAAAAAAAAATTAATTTTGAATATATTTGAAGAAAGTTATGTTTTTTTTTTCTTTTAATATATTATAATATATTAAGAAATTCATGTTATATAAGTTGATACTCAAGAGTGAGTAAGTGAGTGGGTGAGAGAGTTATTTCAATTGAAGTATATTCAAAAAATTAAACATCTATGATGAATTTTGAATTTATGGGTAAAACGTGATGTAATTTAAGATACCGTAATAGATTCGTATATCTCATCCCCTTCCCCATCATTATGGAAAATTGTTAGGTCATTTTCTATAGAAAAAGAAATGAAATCTAAATGAAAAATTTAAAAAAAAAGAAAAAAAAAAAGAAAAAAATCAATGATGAAATCAATCTAAAGTATGAAAGATCAAAATAAAATATCTTGAGAATTTTTATTTTTATAAATGGTC